GGATTGTTCATTGCCCTTAAGATCCAAGGGTCTGGGTCTGTAGTCACCTAGGCAAATTGGTGAGGCTTTTTACCAAACCTTGTCCAGGAAGTGGGGTGCAAGGTTTTGGGAAGTATTTTGGGGGGAAGGACGCGTCCAAACAGCTCTTCCCCAGTAACCAGTATTAGTTTGGTGGTGGTAGCGGCCATTCCAAGGATAACGGGTGTAATATTTTGTACCTTGGGGAAGTTTTGACCTAAGCTGGTAAAGATAAGCTTAGGAGGTTTTTCATGCAGGTCCCCACATCTGTACCCTAGAGTTCAGAGTGGGGGAGGAACCTTGACACCACCAGAGAGGGAATGCAAAGGAAATTAGTTACTTCCCTAAAGGACTCTCATTAGGATTTAGGTAATTGAACATCTCAGTATGCCTGCCCACCAGTGCAAGTAGAAGATTGCAGGGATGCCATCAGTTTTCAAACCTGTTACAATAAATTGCAATTGTGGGGGGAGGGAGGGGGAAAACCAACTCTTTGCATTATGGCAGCATTATCATGGAGATTTTTCCATGCACAAGCATCAGGAAATTCACTGTCTGATTTCCAAAACGAGCACAAATCAGCTCTCCTACACATATGTTGCATTTTGTATTGCTGTACAAGGTGTTAACTTAAAAGCCTTAAAATATGCACAATATAGTCGAGTTGCAGTTGCTGTGGGAACCATAATTTTTTAATTTCCTGACTCCTATGCAGGTGGGGGGGAAATCAAGCATAACAGTCACTGCTTTAACATCAGCAAGTTTTATACATTTAATTTCTTTTGTATATTTTAAAGAGGGAGAAAACAAAAAGATCTCAGATGGATTATAGAAGCAAATATATGCACACACACAAGTTCAAAGCTGATCTGAGCATGTCCATCAGGGAATTGCACATACAAGCACACGTACCTCAGGTATTGCTGGCACCCAAGCTGGGCATATGCAAATCTGCGTATGTACACGAGTATGTTTTGAAGATGTGGGCCTGGCCGGTATGAATTTCCACAAAAGGACATTTCATAACCACCATTTCACATGCATTGAAGTAAAAAGTCATCAACTTTAACTGGCAAAGTGTAAGTTATGAAGAAAAGGGACTTCCAGCTGAGACATGTTTAGCCCAGCCCCTAAAAGCTCAGCCAGAGGGAAAAATCTTTTCTGCTTCACTTAGTAAACATGCTATCTTTGAACCTGGACAGTCCCAGTTTGTGTCTCAGCTGTGGTTATATACAAGCCAAACATCAAATCATGACAAGCATGAAATCCCGCCACGAACTAGAGGACTCTGCCAACTGGTGACATCCACTCCAGTGACTGACTGTGAGATGTCTAACACAGTAGCAACATAGCAATAAAACAAATGGAACATTTATTTAAAAATTTTTCACTGTGTAATACAAACTGGATTCTTCTGGTATCCATGATGCCAGTTCCTTCCTTTGGAAATCTATTCTGTCCTGATAACATTTCTCAACTTATTTATAAATCACTTGTCTGGAATTTTATCTTTGTTGGGCAAATATTTCACTGTCATCCCCTCTGTCATCACTGTCATCCACAAATCAACTGTGATTGATCTGCAGTGGCAGAGCTGGCCATCTTGGGCTCAACTCTGCAAGGGGCTGAGTACTCTCCAGGAATGGCTGGTTCAGATTTTGAATAAAGGTTCAAATAATTTCAACAATCCTCATTAAAAATCAATGGCCTGATTTTCAGAGGGGCTGTCAGCAATGCTCCTGTTAAGTTGAATATAAGCTGTGGACACTCAATGTGCCTGAGACTCAGATCAGTAGACTGTAGACTGGTGATGCCTCCAACGTCACAGCTTATCAAGGGGACAATATCTCATGTCAGCTTAATTTTTAGTCCTGATTGGAGACAAAGAAATGGCCCTTAATCCATTTAGATCCTTAACCGCAGCTTTGAATAATTTTCTTGCTCACCATTTAAAGCACCTAAAGCTAATAAAAGTTCTCTTGTGAATATTAGATCAATTCCGCCAAATTATTGGGGTTTTGAGGGCCAAATCTCAATCGAGTGATTGTTTAATATTGGCTTTTGTGGGTTCAGGATTTAGTTTATGAAGAATATGTAGCGGAAGCAATTCTGATAAGATCTAACAGTTACCTATTTTCTTTAAAAGATGTGGGTTAAAATTTGTTTTCAGTGATATACAAAAGGCAGTGTGGCTACACTGATGAAGTAGAATGTGGCCCAATATGTCTAATATTTCTGTCCACAAAAGATCCATAGCTGGTGTAAAACAGGCTAGCTCCACTGAGGTCAGTTTAGTTTAAACCAGTCCAGGAAGGCATCCTTAATTTAAGAAGGACACTTAAGCATGTGTTTACCTTTAAGCAGGTACTTGGATGGTTTCTTGACTTAGGGTGTTAGTTTCCACCAAAGATATCATATTCACAATGAGCCAGATTGTATTCCCATTGTAACCAACAGAAGTTTGTAGATTGACTTCAGTGGAATCAGGATTTGGCCAACTAAGATACAAGAATATGCCTTTGCGATCATGTACAATACTCTGTCCATGACTGATCACCACTTGCTGGGGGAATGTGGGGGAAAAAAGACATCATAAGGCAATAAACACATAACTTAATAACACAATTAAAGTATATTCATTCCAAGGTGCAGAGAGCCAATGGAACCCTTTAACAAGACAGCTTTATCTGAGATTAAAGAAATACACTAACACCTCAGCAAACTAATACCAACTAAGTTACAACAAAGTCAGACACAGAATCTTAATTATTTGAAACGTGCAAATTAATATGAATTTCTAGCCAATTTCTTTTCCATAGTTGCAGGATCATCTGTGAATCTATCCCACTCTTCACAACAGCTCCTTAGCAGAGATGGTCAATTTTTTTTTAAATCAGATACTTTTAGACATGAAAAATGCCATTTCACAAATCCAAAGTTTTACGCAACAACAAGTATGTTTTGCACAGAAAAAAAGAAAAAAAAAAGAAATCAATCAATTCTCCATTGGCAAAAATTGAAATGAGGGCTGCCTGGCTGGAAGATTCCTGTCAAATTTCACTCTTGGTCAGTGAAACCGACAGAAGCTTTACTGGGGGGTGCCTGACACTGAGCACCCTGACTCTCTTCTGGCCTCCCCCCCACCCGATCCTGGAGCCAGAGAGGGCAGTGGCTCTGCTTTCCTGGTGCCTTGCCCTTCCCTTTCTCCCAGGGGCGCCGGGAGTGTAATTGTCAAGAGCCTTCAGGGCAAGCAAGCTGGGAAGCTGAAACATTCCCTCTCAATCCTCCTGAAATGGATTTTTTTCTTGAAACCGTTCCCATGAAACATTTCATTTGTATGTTGGCAAGATTTTTTTTTTTTCAAAAATATGAATATTTTGCAGGAAGGGATTTCTGTTTTCCTCACAGCTCTATTCCTTATGGATAAGCACCAGTGCTATTAACATACAGCGATGTTAAACACGGGCTGGGTGGAGTTTAGGAAGCAAGGTGGTCAGAGCTCCAACTAAGAACAATAACAAGGGAGGAAAATGTGAATTTACAGGCAAACTGGAATCTCTTTCAAAACTCCCTTGAAGGAAACTTTAGGGTCCCTTTTTCAAATGTAGACACTTAAGTGAGGAGTTGAGCATGGTGCTCTGGTGTTCCAGTAGTAATTTTAGGCACCTACATGCTCTTCTGAATGCCACAATGTAGGATTTGAGGGACAACTTCATTTTACATAACACAAGAACTAGGAGTCACTCAATGGAACAAAAGGAAGTATTTCTTCACACAACACACAGGCAGCCTGTGGAACTCATTGCCAGGGATGTTGTGAAGGCCTAAACTACAATAGTGCTTTAAAAAAAGAATTAGGCAAGTCTGTGGAGGATAGGTCCATCAATGGCTATTAGCCAGGATGGTCAGGGATGCAACACCATGCTCTGGGTGTCCATAGCCTCTGTTTACCAGAAGCAGGGAATGAGTGACAGGGGATGGATCACTTGATGATTACTTGTTCTGTTCATTCCCTCTGCAGAACCTGGCACTGGCCACTGTCAGAAGACAGGATATTAGGCTAGATGGACCATTGGTGTGACCCATTGTGGCCGTTCTTATGTTCTGGGTGTAACTCTACTTTAGCCACTGGAGTTGCATTTAGGATGAATTTTGCTCTGGGCATCTAAGTCCCTTTATGGGATTGGCTGGTGATTAGTCATTTTTTGATATATTATGTTTAGTAATTATCAAAGCACTTAGAGCCTGGGAAAGGCACCTTTAATGCATATGTGTAAATACATAGGAGAAAGTAAAATACATAAATAATGTAGAGTAGGGGTATACCTATATCGCAATACAACGCCTACGGCACCAAGTCTCAGAACCAAGGTCGGCTGACTTCGGCTCAAGGGCCTTGGGCTGTAGGGCTAAAAATAGCCGTGTAGACATTCGGGCTCAGGCTGCAGCCCAGGCTCTGAGACTCACCACCCTCACATAGGGTCTCAGAGCCCGGGCTACAGCCCAAGCATGAATATATAGACTACAGTTTTACGGCCCACAGCTGACCCAGGCCTCTGCAGGTCTTTTATTGGAGTGTAGAAATTCCCTAGGCGACTGCACCTTAACATTGAGGTCTGAGATGCAGTATCAGCAAAATTCCCTACTCGTAAAAACAGTTAGACGTGAAAAAAATCTCCTCAGGAAAGTCCATTTCTAGAGACATTTCAGAGTGGACAAAACAGTAGAAAGCATATGGTGGGGAACAGACCTGTATTAGCCAGGGACGGAACAAGATAATTCAACATTTCTATTTTTTAGGATTCTACGATCATTGCCATTGGCCAAGGGTGACACATGCAACTGAATGATATACAATTTTGAAAGGAGGAACAACCCCATTGAATTCAATGGAGCTACTCAACATCAGTAAGGGGATTACAGACTAGCACTTTATTAATGGTTGATTTATTGCCCTCTAAAGTTCAAACACACATACCTACCTGTTTGCTGCTTCTCTGCCCCGTAGGAAGCAAAGCTTTGGACTTCTCTGCTATTTTCTGCCAAAGAAGAAAAAAGGGATTGGCATTGATGTATCAGTGGTCTAATATTGCAGGGAGGAAATCATAATAAATTCTTTTTTCATTCACATTACACTTAAAAAAAGAATAGAAATTAAAATAACCCTGTAGTTTAGCAATGGAAAAACTGCCTTGAAGAGGTAGACCTTTCAGGAATTAAGTCATTTGAGCTTCAAGCATGACAAGGTGACAAAATATGCATTTAAGAAATGACAGTCAGGACATGGGTAAGTAGCAATTTACCAGCCAGTTCAGCTTCCTGCCGCAACCGGGCATTCACAAAATGCAACGGCTAATTTTGGCACTATGAGATTTATTTAAAAAGTCACATGCACAGCACAGATGGAATATGCTGATGAACATGTATCTAACGACAAACAAACCCATTACACAGATATTTTTGACTTGTGAGTTAACGAGACAGTGCTATCTAATTTAGACCCAGCACTTAGATTTTTGAAACAGAGGAGGAAAGGTTCTATGAAGAGACATATGAGTAGAAATAATACAGTGGCATTGTTATTATATATACACACTTTAAAGGCTAATTAGTTGGGGATTGGTCCTGCTTTGAGCAGGGGGTGGGACTAGATGACCTCCTGAGGTCCCTTCCAACCCTGATATTCTACGATTCTATGGAAACTTTTTTAAAAAACATTTTCCAGCAGTGTTGGAAACCCAAACTAACAGCCTGCCTCTAATGCAAGAGAAACAGTAAGTGAATCTTCCCAGTCTACTTCCACCATCACATGCAAAAAAGTAAACTGTGTCAATGGTGTTGTGTAAATGAGGGTTTAAAAAAAAACAATAAATGCTTTCAACTTCAATGATATTGTGTGTTATCAGCAAAGGCCCCAATTCAGCAAAGCACTTAAGAACATGCTTGACTTTAATGGGTCTTAAGCATATCCTTACAACTAAGCACATAATTAAAGTGCTTTGCTAAGCAGGGGTGGGACAGCCCACATTTAAAATTAAGTACAGGTTAAAGTGGTAAATCAAGGCCAGAGAAAGAACTAGTTGTTATTCAGATACCTGACTTTTACCCTGGTGGTACCTCTTTGGTACCCATCAGAAATATAACTGGTTTGTGTGTGTGTTTAATAAAAATAAATAAAATTCCATTACATCCTCACAGAAAGCGTCTTGTATGCAAGTGTTAGGGCTGGATTGTATGCTTCAAATATTTCATTTGCACAAAATCCTCCTTTTCCCAGCTTTCAACCCAAGCGCATGAAACTCCCATTGAAGAAGGGTAAGTAAGGAGCTCAAGTTTGGCCAGGCTGCGCTTGAACAGGATTTGGAGCACTCAGGTAGATGCCTCATTGAGTATGGCTGGCTAGGGCTTTTCCCGATAAAGTGGCTTTTTTGCTGGGAAATGCCAGTTTGTTGAAACGGAAGCGTTTTGTGGAAACGGTTCCGTTTCAATGAACTTCCGCTGAAATGCCAGGTCGCCTAGCGGTTTGCTGGGGAGCCCAGGCTTACACAGTCCGTAGCTCCAGGGCAGCACTCCCATGTTGACTCGGAAGACCTGGGACACCTGACTCTAGCAGTGGCTCCTAGATAGGTCTACACAACCCACAGAAGCTGGGTGGAGAGACTCGGGCTAGCAGGGTTCACGCTAGTGCTCTAAAAAGAGCTGTGCAGCTCTGGCTTGGGCTCAGGCTCGGAAGCCCATCCTCCCTCTCGAAGCGTCAAAGCCCAAGCTCCGGTTCGAGCCGCAACTTCAAAGTGCCATCTACACAGCTATAGTTAGAGCGCGAGTGCGAGTTCCCCCAGTCTGAATCTCTCGACCCAGGCTGTGAGGCTCAGATACAGCCTCAGGCTATTGGCTTCCAACTCCACTGCAGAGAGTCTGGAAACCTGGGGGCCCTCAGCTCTGGGGCAGACTGCATTGTGCAGCTGCCCCAGAGTCACGGATCCGGAAAGCCCAGGGAGTCCCCTTGAGCCAGGGGTAGCTAGCTGCTCTGTTTCAAAATAACCAAAAGGAAACATTTCAATTGTTCTCAAACAAACAAAAAATCCAGAATTTTCTTTCTGCAGGAAAGTTCAAAATTTCTAGTCTTCGTTCTGGTTTGAAATTAAAACTTTTCTTTAAAATGTCAGAATCTCCTGTGGAACGGAAATTCCGAATTTTGACCAGCTCTACCTCCGAGGCTGTCATATGTGGAACAGACGATAAGAAACAGACAATAAGAGAAAGGACAGGGTTGGGGAAGTAGATTTGTGAGTCATCAGCATAGAGATGACTGGTGAAATCTTGCAAATGGAGACGGTCACCCAGGAATAAGGTGGGAAGGGAAAACAGAAGGAGAGGATTGGCTTTTGGTTGCTTTATTTAACAGTTTGAGCTGTTGCAGTATTTTCTATTCAGCTATAGGCCTCTGGAATCCTTAGGGTCTTAAACTTTTAATATAGCAGAGCTGTCAAGGTAGGTCAATGTTTAAGCCTCACAATGTTGGACAGCATCCCTTTAAATTGCATAGGTAAGAGCAACACTGCACACTAAAGTTTCTTTTTCTCTTTCAGCTCTCCTAAAGCCACACAAGCCATCCTGCAGCTCTTGTGTTACCCTACGCTGCACCATGCTGTGATGCCGTTGCAGTACTGACATTCAGCCAAGGCGGGATGGAGCCAGTTCATCAATAAATTATTTCCTATGTTGCTATTTCACTAAAGGTTTTGCAGTATTTCCAATACACTGTGCCACAAAATAACAGTACAGATATGTTGCAATAATCATGCTATATAAGACCTGAGACACCCTGTTGGCCAGTTCCATGCTCTTGGGAGTCCATAGTTGCTGTTGATCAACATACTTCCAAATCCACACATCAACAAGTGAAAGGAAGTGCGGGAGCCCTATTACCTTCTGCACAGCTCCATATCGCTGGATGGCATCAGACAGCTGGTTATTCAACCTGTCCAGCTGAAGTCGCTCTTGCTGTATTTAAAAGACAAAAAGTAAAGTAAAAAAATCATTACTAACCAATAAAATGGCCGACAATTCAGCAGAAAGTGATTGTGTATGACCTTGAGCAGTAATCCTGCAAGATCTCCTAAGCTAAGCGGCATTAGATCTGCTTGGTATTTGAACAGTATCTGAATTACTAGAAATACCAAGGTGCTACAGCAAGTTATTTTGGCTAGTGAGTAAGGGAATGCTTTACCCTTTGAGTTTTCCATATATTTGCCTATGTATATACTAAACAGGACTGATTTTGCCTAGTTTATGCAACCTAACACTTAAAAGGAAAGAGCTGGACACTATTGTTGGACAAATAAACTAGACCAGAAACAATACAAGAGAAAATACAATAGGGAACAATCATAGCCTAGTTGTCTCCTAGAATACTTTATTATCTATTTAATAAATAGACTATGATGCTCATCCATGTGGTATCTGGACTACATGACCTAAAAGGCCTTTTGCATGTCTAATTTCAACAGGCCAAATCCCAAAGCCCTTATATTTCACTCTGACATTACTAAAGCCTAGTCTAAAGAATAAACATTTGCTGGTAGGGTAGTCGCTTATGGGTGTGATTTTTATGACATTTTTATACAAGCAAAAGCCTAATGCAGATGTACTTATACCAAGAAAAAAAGTATAGCTTATTTCACTCAGGAAACTGGTACAATCTACAAGGGCAAAATTACTTTTTTGTCAATATAAGCTGTATAGTTATACCAGCAAACCTTTCCTAGTATAGATCTGACCTAAGGCAAATTCCCATTGGCGTCAGTGGGAGTTTGACTTCAGGCAAAATCTGAGTAAAGACCTCAGGTTTTATCCATCTGATTTCACAGGAAGTCTGTCTGACATCATGACATTTATTTTAGGGCTGGTCAAACCATATTTGAAGAACACATTAGTAGATAAATTTCACCAGTACTCACAGAACACCATATTCAGGAAATACGTTTTGCAGCATTCAATCAGCAATATTATTCAGTGAGTATATAATGTGATGAATATCAGTCAAATTTGCCAAAAACGCCGAAAAATGCCTTTTCCGCTATTCGGCCAGATCTAATTGATATGAATTATCATGTCATACTAATGATGCTAAAGTCAAGAAATCAATAATTGCAATTCTTGTTACAAATCCCCATATTCTCCTTTGGGAAAACAAGTATTTGTTCTCAAGCTGCAAAAAATACAAAAACAAAAACAAAACACAACACCACACACTCTTTATCCATTATATAACAAACACACAAGACGGTGCGATAATATAGGCATATTGAAAATGAAAAGCAAACATATTACAGCATGATGCTCTAGACAGCACATTTTAATTCATGCATTTAGTTAATGACAACACATCTACAGAAGAGATGTTATCAGTGGAACAGACTGTTGTAGCCTGGTCTCCTGCAGCTCCTTTTTAAATGCCAAGGCAGACCCCAAATGTCTTTAATGCCGGGGACATTGATTCTGCGAGAATGAATGTCACATCAAAAGGAGTTTATTTGGATGATGACGAATGACTGATTTGACCATTTTGTCTGATGGATCATTCTGTACTCGGTCTGTGCTATGCCATTAATAATCATCTTCATTCTGATTGGCTTAGGGACAAAAGAGTTCTAATCAGAGGCCGGCTTGTCTATACATTTACCGACATGCTGGGAAGCAGGGAGTCCTCAGTAACAAGCCCTCCTCTCTGGAATTCACTTCCCTGGGACATTCGCCTTAGTTGAAACCCTACCTCATTTATGAGAGAATACGAGATGGAACTCTTTGCTCAGACCTTCCCTCTAACTGCCATTCTGGAATTTCTTATTTTACTATGTTTCTCTCACTTTAAAGTCAGGGGTCACTGAATACTTGTTCTAGTATATGGGAAAGTTGCCTTTCATATTTATATCTTATAAAGGACAATTAGTACAGTGATGAGTACCTCATAAATGCTTGTAATAATACAGAAATAACACTAATAAAATGATGCTAATAAATACAATAAATAAATAACAATAATAACAACAATACTTTCCTTGTAAGAATAAACAGATTTATGATTTTATTTTTAAACCTTCTTCAGCAAATAATGGGGGGCCATACTCCACTCTGTTTGACAAACACGGCTTCTCCCAAAAACAACGAAGAGTCCTTGTGGCACCTTAGAGACTCCCATAACTTATACTGAATATACTCTAAGCAGCATTGAGAGACTTAGTAATGGATAACATGACAGTTGCAAACAATGTGCAGCTTATTTTTATCACAAACAAACACAGCCCGACAAGAGCCAAGATAGTCTTTGCTCACCATGGTACCCAGAACAAGAAAAGCATTCTCCCTTATTCATGGGCTCAGTGATTGAAAATAAAATCTCTAGTCATTAAAATCTATTTTCTGGTAGCAAGAGCCTCTTTAGCAAATGGATTTGGGGAGTCCCTCCTTTAGATGTTATCTATTTGGGGATAACTGGAAAAATGAGTGCTTGGTGATGGACATTAATGAAATTCCAAACACAGTCCCTGCCACCCACCGCTCCTGACTGAGAACTTTGCAACTTTGCAATCCACCACCAGTGAGGAGTAGCAGAATATCACAATTAGCAAGAAGGGCTGGATGAAAAGCAGAGCCATCAGCACACATGGTTTCAGGCCCCAGATCACTGCGGGTGTGTCTCCCCACCTAGTTCCAGTTCCCAGGTTGTTTAATCCACCCCCGGTAACTGTTTTGACCAAAATCCATCCAAACCCAGTCCTGCACCCATTGGAGTCAATAAGAATTTTATCACTGACTTCAAAGAAAGCAGGACCTCTTAAAATTAGGTTTTCAGTAAAAAAGGAGGCCTCAGCCAGCAGTGCTCTAGTTCAGTGGGCAGCAGCATTATGGTTCGAAGATTGAGGGTTTGGGACCAACACTATATTATTTTTTAATCAGCGTGTGTGTTGGATCATCTTCCAGAAACCATCCGTGGTTCAGAAGAGTACTCTGAACCCTTGAAGTTTGCATCTTAAAATTCAAGCCCCTTGTGGGCTAAAATATTCAGGTTTGCATTGGGGTATGTTGGGAGAAAGGGAGGGGGCATCATTAAAAAAAACTATAGTCTATTACAATCACTGCTCAAAAACATCTAGCAACTTTGTGCATGTTTTAGTGTTTCAGACATTGCTGAGGAATAGGGAGGTAGATTTTATAAGGGATGGCAGATGCATTATTAAATTATTAAAAATCACTTAATAACAATAATCACATCTGGCTCTTACATCACAATTCTCATCCTGAGATTTCAAAGCACTTTAGAAGATGGGAACATGATCCCCGTTTTAGAGATAGAACACCATCACTTTTGAACATGCTTTACAAACATGGATTCAGAGATATTCTCTGCCCTGAAGAACTTATCTAATGAGACCATTCAAACCTAACATTAGCCCCACAAGAAACACTGGAACCCTAGCCTGACCCAGTGTTAGACGGGGCTTTTCTGTGTGAGCCCTTTAATGTTGGTTAGAGATAGCCCCAGCATGACTGTGTGTCCAGCTAGATCAGCATCCTGCCTTCTCTCGCATGGATCCAGTCACTGGTCTATCTACACCAGAATCTTTATTCCTGATATACTATGAATTCACCCAGGTGGGCCTCCTGCCTCCAACAATTCCAGTCAATAAATGATGCTTCAAAGGAAGGTAGGAAAAAAAACCCATAATGCACTTGGCTGGTGGCACATCACTGTTGGAAAAGAAAAACTTCTTGTGCAAAGCAGTACACAGAAAAATGGATCAGAAGGGACTGACCACAAAGCTTTAAATCAATGGAAGGTTTCTCACGCTATAAGAAACTTTACAAGAGGAAAACTTTGGAACACTGTCCACAGATTCCTCCAGAGTGACTTAGAGACCCAGCAACCAATCCCTATCAGAGCCATCTGTTTTATATAAGGGACAAAGTCTATAGGATTACATCAAAATTTGTAGGTTAAATTATTTAAGCTACACACTGTTGTAAAGGAAGAGTGAAAAAAGATTTGTTAAATTAATTGACCAGGGAGAGGAAAAGTTATTATGTGATATCACAGAGTTGTGAGTTTATTTCTCCTATTACCATAAACGTTTGCATCTCTTTTCCTTTCTGCTCTTAAATATACTTTCTTTAATTTAAAAACTTTACATCCACTACAGTGAAACCTGTTCTGATCATAGCCTCCTCTGATGGAATCCACCTGGGCTTCAAGGGCTGATAATGACATTCAAGAATAATGACAGGTTTCAGAGTAGCAGCCGTGTTAGTCTGTGTTGCAAAAAGAAAAGGAGGACTTGTGGCACCTTAGAGACTAATACATTGATTTGAGCATAAGCATTCCACTGAATGCATCCGATGAAGTGAACTGTAGCTCACAAAAGCTTATGCTCAAATAAATTTGTTAGTCTCTACGGTGCCACAGGTCCTCCTGTTCTTTATTCAAGAATAAGGCACTGCTAATATTTTTCAGCTGGCCTTATTTGACTTCCCCCTGGACCCAATTTGTGTTGCACAAAATAACATGGGGATCTGCAGAGAATGGCCAGGCCATTGCATCTCTATAAAGTCAGTGAGGCACCTTTTGTTTCATTCCAGCCAGCTTTAGTCTGCCATTCAACAGCCCCACAGTTCATTCTCTCTCTGACAAAGGCTACCGCGACCCTCGCTAGAGTATTCATTTGCTGGTACATCCTTTTCTTTACCACTCAATACAGGCAGGCAACAGGAAGAAACAATGCTTGTGCTCCTTCATAAAACAACGTGGAGTTTTACATTAACACAGCTTCAGCCCCTTAGGGAATATTTGGATAAAACCTGAGTTGGGCAGTTCAACTAATACTTGTTCTAGATGGAGGGATACTTGAAGCAGTGTCTAGGAAGGATGGAAACATGGAATTCTGGAGAACACCAGGGAGGGAGGGAGAAGATGCAGGGATAGTTTGGGGGAGCAGCAGCCCTGGACACCACAAGGAGGGCAAATGCAGAGTGGGAGAGAATATCATATGGGAACATCAAGGAGAAGCGACTGTAGGGGTGGGGAGGGAGCCGAAGGTGCATGGGTGGTTTAATGGAAGGTTAGGTAGTGAAAGCTACAGGAAGAGCAGGTGTGAGGAGAGCACAGATTGCTGAGAGCACACCAGGAGAAAATCCAGTAAGGGGGAGGTATGGTTCATGGGTCTATGCTCTAGTAGTGTGGGTAAAGGACTAGAAGTTGAGAGACAGGGATTATATTCTTGTTTTAGCTACTGAATTACTGTGTTACCTGGGGTCTGTCATTTAATAAACACTCAGGTTGATTCTGTTCTCCAAGATGAGCACAGAAGGTGCTTAAGCAAACTAAGCCATCATGGGGTAAAAGGGAAAATCCTCTTATGGATCACTAACTGATTAAAAGATAGGAAACAAAGGTCAGGAATAAATGGTCAGTTTTCACAAATGGAGAGAGGTAAATAGCAGGGTCCCCCAAGGATCTGTACTGGGACCAGTGCTGTTCAACATATTCATAAGTGATCTGAAAAAGGGTGTGAACAGTGAGTTGGCAAAATTTGCAGATGATAGAAAGATATTCAAGACAGTTAAGTCCAAAGAAGACTGTGAATAGTTACAAAGGGATCTCACAAAACTGGGTGACTGGGCATCAAAATGGCAGATGAAAGTTAATGTTCATAAGCGCAAAGTAATGCACATCAGAAAATATAATCCCTACTATACATAGAAAAGGGGTCTAAATTAGCTGTCACCATTCCAGAAAGAGATCTTGGAGTAACTGTGGAGAATTCTCTGAGAACATCCACCCAATGTGCAGTGGCAGGCAAAAAAGCTAACAGAATGTTAAGAATCATTAAGACACAAATAGATAATAAGACAGAAAATATCATAATGCCATTATATAAATCCATGGTACGCCCATACCTTGAATACTGCGTGCAGATCTGGTCATCTCAAAAGAGATATATTAGAATTCGAAAGGGTAAAAAGAGGGGCAACAAAAATGATAAGGGGGTATTGAACAGCTTCCATATCAGGAGAGATCAAAAAGACTGGGATTGGTCAATTTAGAAAAGAGATGAGTAAGGGGGGATACAATTGAGGTCTATAAAATCATTAATGGTGTGAAGACAGTGAATAGGAGGTGTTGTTTAACCCTTCACATAACACAAGAACTAGGGAGTCACCTAATTAAATCAATAGGCAGAAAGCTTAAAACAAACAAAAAGGAATGCTTCTTCACACAACACACAGCCAACCTGTGGGACTCATTGCCAAAGGATGTTGTGAAGGCCAAAAGTATAAATGGGTTAAAAAAGAACTAGATAAGTTCTTGGAGGATAGGTCCATCAACAACTATTAGCAAGATGGTCAGGGATGCAACCCAATGCTCCAGTGTCCCTAAACCTCCAACTTCCAGAAGCATCTGGCACGGACCACTGTCAGAGACAGGATACTGAGCTAGATGGACTATTGGTTTGATCCAGCATGGCCATTCTTATGAGCACACAACAAGCCCTGGCCTCTTCTCCAATGAGAATGTGATGGGCCAAATTCAGCAGTGACATAAATGTGGTAAGTTACACATTAGAAACAAGTTGGTCAGAAAATGAGTGTAAGTGGTAAATTGTTAGAAATTGCTGGGCAACCAGTAGGGGTGTAACCCACACCAATGTGGGGGAGTCAATGGGAGATGCACCCACTTATGTTAGGAGCTTCTTCTCCTTCTCCTTCTTTCCTATGTCTGATGTACAGCAGCAACTATAGTTTCACCTGAAGTTGATCAAGCCAAATGGCTACATCAGGGGTAGCAGAATTTATTGCGGTAATGCCTCCTTCATATTTATAAATTGGGCAGGAGGTAGCGATATGTTCGATGGTCTGTTGTGGGGAATCACACTTGCACACTGGGAAGTTCTTGATTTTCAATTTGTGCATTAGATGTCTGCATCTGCCAAGGTTAGTTCAGATTTGGTTCAGAGTTGACCAAGATAACTATGGAAGGTCAAACCGAGGAACCTTCGGCATGGGATCCAGCACAAGATACTTATTTTTTAAGTCTTGTTTAGCCCAACCTGCTTTTTGATCATAGCCTGATTGCATGTGGCTAAATAAATGTTCCCAGAGAGGCTTGCAGGACTTATGACATTGCAGGGGGCATTATCAAGGTCTTGATGGATAGAGGCTGAATATGCCCCTGCGAAAATTGGGGCTAGCATGGCATAAATTATAATATGGTGAGGAATTACTTTAAGTTACAAAGTGAGGCTTTGAACCCCTGTCTCCCCCACCCTGGGTGAGTTTTCTACCTACCGGGCCATTGAGTGTAAGGGGACCACCAGCAGCATCCTTTGTGTGAGTTTCAGCATGCTCTAATTTTCCCTTCTCTGCCGCTCAGTATGTAAATTGAACATACTTGCACTCAATGAATGCCACACCATGCAACTGTCACTCCTTTGTCACTTACATCCACTTTCACCTATTTGTAGACTCACTCGTACCCAGTGTGAAATTTGCTCCTCTCTTGACATCATCACTAACTAGTGTCTAGGGACTTCCATGGGACCTTCCCCTGCTACTCCAGTTAACATGTGGGCTCTTAAGTTTTAAACACAGTGTAGGAAAGAGCTGGGATTTCACTATGTGACTATAGATTTCTAATTTAATGAGAGCCAGCCTCAGGAGAGAGCTCTTTCCACAAGTCCTCAGAGGTCCCTTGAATCCGTTTTGCAATGATGATTTATCGAGGCAGCATGCAATTTAACACTATCACCATATCAAAACAAAGAAAATTATAAAGATACCGAGCTCAGCAACTTTAAGGCACTTGCTGCCCACCACTTATCTTTAAAAAACAAAAACAAACTTTTATCTAAATGGCATCCCAAAAGGCACATACCCTAGATGAGCCTCTGACAATCTCAGACAGCTGCTTGATAGCTTTGGTGCTGGTAGTAATGGTTTTATTGGTCTCTTGCTGGGTTGCATGCCTGTAGAAAAAAAGAGACCATGCAAATTATAATTACAATTTAATTTTATAATGACTCACTCAAAAAACTCTCATAACACACTCCTGCTATAACACCAATATACACACAGGCTATGCTATGAAGCTGTGATGGCAGGTATACATAACAGAAGCAGCAACATGAAGGTTGGATAATAGTAAATGTTAGAGAGGGGATCCAGCAAATGGTCACCTGTTGTAGTCAGCAAGAGATATGGGTTGGGATCTGTGGTTTAATATGGGATGGTGCAAAGGGAGTCAGTGATGGGTGGAGGGAAGCAGACAGACTGTTAGATATAGCTGCTTTGGCAATAACAAAGGAGGAGAGGAAGGCTGAACAGAAAGAGAGAAAAAGAAAAAGAGGGTCAAGAACAGAAAGAGATGTGATGAAGGAGCTAGACGAGGACGAAATCGGTAAGCATGAGGTTTGGTATTCTGACCTGTAATTTACACCAAGAGGGTACTACCAGTTGGTAAGGTGCACATAATGCAGTTGTGGGTACAGGCGGTTAAATATGCTAGCAAGAAGCAAGACTAATCCATTCTGTTATCTGACTCTCCAGTGGTCATGATTATTATTTCTTGGATTTACTGAGTGCTGACAGCCTGCTCCCTGCTGTGCAGGGCAGAGGGAGACGCAGAGGGCTACATGAGGGCATTGCCATGGAAGATCTAGAAGACAGATTCTGTATCAGGCAGTAAAAGTAGGTCAGGATGAGGTTTAGCAGGGGATTTAGGCGCTGCAATGCAACTACAAGGTTAGCCAACAGTTGTGCGGTGGTTTTGTGAATTCCAGTGGCACCTAAATGTTGGATGTGGCAGTTAGGTGCCTAATTCTCCCTGATGACTCTAGTCCAGACTCCACCCAAAGAAATTTACCAGCTAAATCAAACATGGCTGTCAGCAGGTAGATATTAATCCCAACCCCTCACTCGTATTGTATTGCTCATTTCTGCTAGAAGGGTGAAGTCTTGTTAAAAGTTGGGCAGAAAGGTGAAAAACAAGTGCACATAAATTACTCGTGAACAGAACAATTACTTCTTAAAAATAGGCTTCCAATACCTTACTGGTTATCCAACGTAATAGAAAAACAGAGAAATCACCTGAATACATGCACAGCAGATCACTACATGAGGCTTAGAAGTCATTTTTACATGGCCATACGCAGCCATTTTTACACGGTCCTATGCAGCCAATCTATCAAGTTAGTAATCAAACGTATCATGTTTGCATTAGAAATACAGATCCACCTATTATCTTCTCTACCAAACTCAAGCAGAGGAAAAGGCCTGGTAGTTTTGAAGAGAAGTAACACAGATTCCTGAGACATCTGGAGAAAATCACCTTTTTTGCCACTTCAGTGGCACACTGCAACCAGAGTCCATAGTATCTCTATGGAGTGATGAGAGGGCAAACAAAAGAGACAATCATTTATCTTGCTATCACTCTACACAACCTGGGCCTGTAACTAATGGATAGTAGTTCATACAGAAAATAAACACACATAGGTCGTCTGTCCCACAGCCCCACTGTGCCACCCACCCACCCACCCACAGGTGTCCCTGCCTTGGGCCCACTACCACACTCTACCCCAGGACTACAGGCACTGTCAAAAGGTGTTCTCTTCCAGGCCCTCAGTTCCAGCCCTTCTAGCTCCTTCTTTTTGGAACAAACCCAGCTCAAAAAGAAAGTCTTTCCAGGGCACAAATATATTTTCATCCCCAGCCTCCTCTTTTGGTGGTCAGGGCAGCCTCATCCCCTTCTTTGGCTTCCTCTTCCTGTCTGGGATATAAAGCAGCTGGGCCTGGCTGCCTGATGAGCTCCAGCTGCCTTACCCTTCTTGCATCTCTTCTCTTCCCTGCCTGTTCTTTGACTCCATCCAAGAAGCACATGGAGAAAGCACTGCAGAAAAGGACCTAGAGGTTACAGTGGACGAGAAGCTGGATATGAGTCAACAGTGTGCCCTTGTTGCCAAGAAGGCTAACAGCAGTTTGCGCTGTATAAGTAGGGGCATTGCCAGCAGATCGAGGGATGTGATCGCTCCCCTCTATTCGGCATTGGTGAGGCCTCATCTGGAGTACTGTGTCCAGTTTTGGGCCCCACTCTACAAGAAGGATGTGGAAAAATTGAAGAGAGTCCAGCGGAGGGCAACAAAAATGATTAGGGGGCTGGAGCACATGACTTATGAGGAGATGCTGAGGGAACTGGGATTGTTTAGTCTGCAGAAGAGAAGAATGAGGAGGGATTTGATAGCAGCCTTCAAGTACCTGAAAGGGGGCTCCAAAGAGGATGGAGCTAGACTGTTCTCAGTGGTGGCAGATGACAGAACAAGGAGTAATGATCTCAAGTTGCAGTGGGGGAGGTTTAGGTTGGATATTAGGAAAAACTTTTTCACTAGGAGGGTGGTGAAGCAGTGGAATGCATTACCTAGGGAGGTGGTGGAATTTCCTTAGAATCACAGAATCATAGAATATCAGGGTTGGAAGGGACCTCAGGAGGTCATCTATTTATGATCCCAATAATTCATTATTGGAATAATAATTTTTAGATTATTGTTAGATTCCAAACCTCCCTCCCTACCATAGAATAATAGAATATCAGGGTTGGAGGGAACTTCAGGAGGTCATCTAGTCCAACCTCCTGCTCAAAGCAGGACCAACACCAACTAAATTATCCCAGCCAGGGCTTTGTCAAGCCTGACCTTAAAAACCTCTAAGGAAGGTGCATGACTTCCATGAGTGAGGGTTCCATGATTGAGCCTTTAACAAATGTTTCCTTTTAATATAATTTAATATAGAAAAAGACACTAGCGTTGATCCTCAGTCACCTTCTTAACCTCAAAAAACTGTCTATCTACAGAAGTTGGAAATTTCCATATGGACAATCCCCATCCGAAAAGTAAAAGGCCTCATTAATTCTATACATTCAATTATTTTCAATGTCTGAAGTTGAGTAAAAGCCCAGCTTTGTTTGGATTCCAATGCAAATGTTGACCTTACATACAATATATCAGCAGTTCTCAAACTGTGAGTCGGGACCCCAAAGTGGGTCACAACCATATTTTAATGGGGTTGCCAGGGCCAGTATTAGACTTGCTAGGACCCAGGGATGAAGTTGAAGTCCAGCCGGGCGGCAGGGCTTGGCTGCCTCCCCTTCTCCCAGATGGGGGTGGCGGGGCTCAGGTTGCAGACCTCCCCGCCCTCACCTGGGGCAGTGGGGCTCAGGCTCTGACCCCTCCCTCCCAGGGTCGTGTAGTAGTAACTTTATTGTCAGAAGGGGATCGCTGTGCCATGAAGTTTGAGAACCCCTGCAGTACATAATACATTCAAGTCTGGCGTAAACTTGTAACTTGGATCCTTCAATTTGTCTGCCTTAAAAAAATTGCTTTCCATCCTCCTTTTAAAACACATTTTTAACAACACTGTCGAGCTCAACTTTGGTAGTTGCAAGTGTCTTGTCAGCATAATTAACTTACTATGCTTCAGCCTCAGAGATACATTCAGAAATCAGACAGTGATTATATTTAATTTACATTAAATGCTATTAAGATCTTCATTAAAAATAAAGGCCTTGGAATTCCACCTCCTGCAGCATTTTATTTTACTTTAATATGTAACAGTAATAAGATATGCAGCTACTACTATTATTATTATTATTATTATTATTAGCTTCCTCCATATCCATCTCCCTATGGAACTGTGCAAGTTAATTAAAGGGGTGTCTCAGATTAACACAATTTCATTTTGAGAAAAATCAGCCACACACTAGTAAGTTAAATATATGATCGATACAGATATAGTGTGAATATTTTATATATGCTGAAAAGAACTACAATGGCTATCATGATGTACTGCAGCACTACAAATGGGATGGAATTCTCTTAGGAGGAGTAAAGTTTTCTGATTTGTGTGTGTTTATAAGAAAGGATGCAAAGATACTGTACTCTATAAACCACCGGTGGTGAAAGCTTAGCCCACATAATTCTACAATCAAACCCATGGCTGCCATTTTCTTTAATATGGAAGTATGGCCCATTGGATGTATAGTTCCCAGCATGCAGTTCAGACAGGTCCTAGACTAAGAATTGCTTATTTGTAGGCACTAAGTAATGGTATGAACTAGGAACTGTGATCTTAGATTGTATTCCCAGCCCTGCCACTGACTTGCTGTGTGATTTTAGTCAAGCCATTTTTGCTTCAATTTACCACAGCTGTGCTTCATTTATCCAGTTTTAAAATGAGCTCAAGTGAGAGTCAAGCAAAGTGATCTCTCCATTTCCCTCATCTACCTCACCGGGGTGTAATGAAGCATGTTCAGTATTGTTTGTACAAGGTTTTGAGATTCTTAGTGAAAAACAAAGTACAAAATATGATCAGACCCTTAGGACTGACTTCAAATGAAGCAGCAGAGAGTTAGAGAAAACAAAGGGGTTCATCATGTTTATCTTCCCCTCCATCTGAGGCTCCCTGCCATAAACAACCCCAGGGATGGATTTACATGCCAGTTCCAGAGGTGAAAGGCCACATACTAATCCAATTAAACATACAGTTTCACTTTATGTTGTTTTTTAGGATTACACTTGTAAAAGGCTCAAAAAGGAAATTACTTAACACTGGCTCCAAGCTCACTAAACAAACAGCAAAACAAGACAATTTCAAAGAGAAAAAGTGACTCGATACTTCAAAAGGGACAAAAGGAAGTTGTTAGTGGGAGATTAAATTCATTATTCTGTTAGATACTAAAAATCATGGATTGAACAGAGACACTGCATTTATGGCTTATTACAACAATCTGTAACCCACTAAGCCCTTCTTTTTGTCCTATGACTGCAGAGACATTAATGGGCCACCCTACCTTAAATGGTCCCTTACAATATGTGCTATTTATGCGAAACACTCTGTTCTACCTTGCTATGAGTACCTATCCCAGACCCGAACAAGAACTATGTGTGGACTGAAAGCTTGTCTCTCTCACCAACAGAAG